ATGCCTGGCATTCAGAAAACAAGCAATTAATGACTGCCAGCGAGAATGCGAGGGGAAAGGAACTTTATATCCTGCTGGTGGAAATGCAAGTCAGTATGGTGGGGCCTCAACATCTAACCACAGGAGGACATACGATCTGGCTCTAGCACTCCTGGGCTACACTCAAAGGAAACAGTCAGTTTGCAATAGAGAGACCTGCACACTTATGATTATTGTGACATTATTCACGAGTTACAGTATGGGATCAGCATAAACGTCTATCAACAGATGAAACAGTAAAGAAATGTGGTACATGTACACAGTGGAGTTTTGCTGGGAGCCATGTGACTTCTTCGGGGGACAAGGCCTGAGAACAGCATGAACAAGTTCTCCTTGTGGCAAGACCCTGGAGTGTTTGACCCACTTGGGGCAAGTCTGATGGATTGTTCACTGTATAACTCTGGGCATGACCCCAGAAGCATATTGCTACCTGCTCTCCTTGCTTTCTTTATACAAATCATGTTGCTGGCTGCCTCTAGTTCCACTTTCTTAAAGCTATGGATGAAACAGCTACTGCATTAGGAAAACTTCCCCCTGATGACTCTCCTCTGGGTGAACCAGAGGGGATGTTGTTAAAAATATACAGTGGACCGGTTTCAGCTCCTAAAGCCTTTGATGTTTCAAGTGTGACCAGGAATTCAGGATTGTTAAGAACAGGATGTTGCCTCTCCAAAACACCTTGTGACTAGTCTGAAAGAGTCACAGTAGTTCATGACATTACACATTTGCATAACTGTTCTGGAGAGAATGATTTTAGCTACAAGAGTCTAGGAGAAATGCTAATAAATAGATGATATCAGGAGTTAATGGGAACAGTCTATGAACAGGGAATGAAGCAGAGTCATGGAAATCCACAAGCCCTCACTTCTAAGAGCTGTGCCAATACTGTAGAAAGTTGAGAGGGAGGAGACATGAGAACAAAAGATAAGCAGTTCCAGCTATTAAGAGCAAGCTTTTAATTATGTAGTGTACAGGGTGATAGAGAACCTGGTATATCCCCATAGGAGACAGAGTAGTACAGAATGAAGAGTGAATTGACTAAGCCTTGGCTGATGAGTTAATTGTGAGAAGTTAGATTTGACTAGAGGCAAACATTAACCACTAGAGGCGAAATTCTCTTTCCCTTTGCATGATGTTGTAACCGCAAATGCTACCAACTGAGCACACTGTTCTACCTGTAGGTGTGCCTAGTTAGATAACTTTCTTTACCGCTTGCAACATTTCTTATGCTCCTTACATTAAAGCTATGAATCAAGTAGGTAATGGTTACCGGTGGGAAAGTTGGGGGACGGAAGGGGAATGAGGTAAAGGAGCAAACTGGCAATTATTGTAACCATTGTTAGAAACATAAGGAAACAAATCTGATTGTAAGACTGTCCATGCAAACTATTGAAACTGTATAAATAAAAAGGATAGGGCTATCCAGGCTATCGGGGCTATCCAGGCTATCTGGGCTATCCGGGCTATCCCAGGCCACTTGTGTGAAACAGGTGGTCATAGTTTCTTCGCTGGGCCAACTTCACACATCTGTCCCAGGTCACTGGACCTGTTGGGGATTAGAAGTTAGTCTTCCAACAGAGATCCGTTTTGCCATAAAGAAGAAAAGAAATTACATTGTTCCCTCCCCCCCAAAAAATGGATGGACCTGGAGATTATCACATAAAGTGCTAGAAAGTAGAAGAGGGACTAGTTGGGAGGAGGAAGGCACTCAGCAGGAGGGGAGCTACACATGGTTTACAGGCACACACAGTACATGTACATATGTACACACGTACACATGGAATACACAGGTATACATGGTACTCACAATACATGTTATACATAGTACACAAATATATACACATACACATGGTATACATGATACATGGTACACAAATACACATACACATGGAATACACATACAAATGTACACATGGTATACAGGCACACACAGTACATGTATATATGTACACATAGTATATATAGTACACATATACACGGTACACACAGTATACACAGGTACACATGGTACTCATGATACATGTTACGCATCATATGCAAATATATACACGTACATGTGGTATACATGGTACACAAATGCACATTGTACACATGAAACACACATACACATGGTACACATGTACACATGGTACACAAATACACATGTACACAATGACACATGAACACATGGTATAAATGATACAAAGTACACATGGTACACAGGGTATACACAGCACACAGGGTACACATATATACACATGGTACACACAGTTCATAAGACCCATTATTTGTATAAGTTATACATTAATAAAACATGAGTGGAAACAGGAAGCAAGTAGAAGACCCTGGGTTCAGGCACCAGTACTTGGGGAAGGGAGGATGGGAAAGAATGAATCCCATTTTTAACACTAAAAGGAAGAAAATTCTCAGGAGTAAATCTAACCAAGGAGGCAATGATCTCTACAATGGAACTTGGGGGCTGTGGGGAGTGGGAGGGGGGAACCAATGACAAATAAACGGAAGATCTCTGTGTTCTTGGACCTGAAGAATCAAGATGTCAAAATGTTCACAATACCCAATGTTAGCTAACAATCACTGTCAAAATGCCGGTATCATTTGTCACAAAAAAAATAGAAAAACGTTACAGAAACCCAAATGCTGAAGAACCCAAACAATCTTGAAAAATAACAAAGATGGACACATCCTGACTTCAACCCGTGTTTCAAAGCCACCATAACTCAAACTGTGTCACTACCACAAAAACAGGTAGAGTCAACCAATCTCCACCAAAAGCTCCGGGATACAAAACCAGGAAAGGGCGATCTTCTTCAGCAGTGTTGAGAACCCTGGATCGCTCCAGGAAAAAGACAAGCTGACTCAGGATCATTTTAGATAAGATTTTAAAATTTAGACTTAAAAATTTTAAACACTGTACCATACACAAAACTCAACTCAAAATGGATTCAGACTTATTATGATCTCAAAATCATAGAAGAAATCACAGGGAGAGAGGCCATGGTACTGGTACTGGCAATGACTTTTTGCCTACAACACCAAAGAACAGGCAATATTAGAAAAAGTAACCAAGAAGAACAGCATAAAACTAAAATAAAAGACCAACCCACAGAATGGAAGGAAATAGCTACAAACCATGTATCCAATAAGGGGTTTAAATCAAAATATATAACTTATACAACTCAATAAGAAAAAAACAAAGGACTTGGGTAGACATTTCTGAAAAGAAAAAGAAAAGAAAGCATCAAAGTGGTCAACTGGTACTCTGTCATGTGCTCTGCAGTTGGGGAGATGGATATTAGTAAGTGCTTGTCCCACAAGCAGGAGGACCCGAGTTCAGATCCCCAAGATCCATGCAGACACCAGTGTTCACCAGCAATCCCAACACAGGGAGACAGATGGGAGACCTGGGGCTTGGTGGCCAGCCAGTGTAGCTGAATCAGTGAGCTCTAGGTTCACAGAGAGACTCTCAAACAATGAGATGGAAAGCAATTGATGAAGACATTAGATGTCACTTCTGGCCTCCAAATACACACGTACACACGTGCACATGCACACACATCACTAATCATCAAGGAAGTGCTAATGAAAGCCATATCTCAAACCTGTCACACAGGATAATTACTAAAAAAAAAAGGAATCAACGGTGGATGGCAGCATGGATGAAACCAGGATACACCTGTTAAGTGAGACAGCCCAAGACATAGATAAATAATACTACATGATCTTTTTATGTGGACTCTGAAAAAGTAGAACTCATACAAAGAGCAAAAGGCTGGTTACTAAGGATCAGGTGGTGGAGGGAATCAGTGAGATCAGTCACATGATGGAAACTTCTGGAGATCTAAAGAACAACCTGAGGAACATAGTAAATCCACTGTGTACCTCAAGTCTGCCAAGAGAAACCACAAGAACCGTCCTTGCCACACACAGAGCGGTGGCTATGCAAGGTGCTTGGCACATGAGTTAGCTTTGCAGCAGTAATCATGTCATAACATACATGTATGCCAAAACACCATGGTGGGCTATCACAGAGGTGTGTGCCTGTAATCCCGGCTGTTGGGAAGGCTGAGATGGGGGGTCACAAACTTGAAGCTATCCTGGGCAACTAGCAAGACCCTGTCTCAAAATTTAAAAACAAAAGAGCAGTAGGGGTGCAGGTCAATAGAAGAGCACTTGCCTAGTATGTCTGAGAGCCTGGGTCTCATCCTCAGGACCACCAAACAAACCAAACTACCACAGTAAAAATCACAGCCACAGTCACACCTTAAATAGATACTAGTTTTATCAGCTTTGCCTCAGCAAAGCTGTAAAAAGAAGAAAAAAAGGAGAAGGAGGAGAAGAAAGGAAGGAAGGAAGGAAGGGAGGGAGGGAGGGAGGGAAAAGAAAGAAAGAAAGGAAGGAAGAAAGAAAAAGAGAAAGAAAGAAAGAAAAAAGGAGAAAGAAAGGAAGGAAGGAAGGAAGGAAGGAAGGAAGAAAGAAAGAAAGAAAGAAAGAAAGAAAGAAAGAAAGAAAGAAAGAAAGAAAGAGAAAGAAAGAAAAGAAAAGAAATCCAGTTAAGCCTGTGGGTGTCTACTCAAGGGTTCTGGGCTCCTCAATTAGCTAGTCAGAGAGCAATCTGTTCTCTTGAGTTGATACGACAGTAATCTAACTTCCCTTCAGCTGAATAGCATGATTTTCCAGAAACAGGATTTCATATTAGTAGTTTTAATTCATTAAATATTAAAACTATAACTGCAACTTAAAACCCAGTATCTACTACAGTGTTCTATGAACAAAGGGTTATTTTGGTAACTACACAAACACAAAATCACACACTGTCCCTAGTAACTTTTGTATTTTCGGTAACAGATGTTTTCTCTATTTTGAGATTTCCTAAGAGATAAAAATAAAACAAACCCAACTTCTATGAGGTAAAGACATTCAAAAGGCTCCACTGTGCAACACCAGGACACAGGGTCACGAACCTCCCCAGGTGAGGACGTGGATCCTCTTCCACCACACATAGAGGAAAAGCAGGGCAGACAGGAAGAACTGGGAGGTGGTGTTGGCCCAGGCTGATCCTCTGCAGGAGAAAAGGTGAGGTTAGCTCACGACAGACTGCCTTTGACAGGCTTTGGCTGGCAGCGAGCTTGGGGTGCCTCTGCTGCCTTCCTTTTGTGTGATGGCTGAGTCCATGTGGAATAGGCTTGTTTGTCTCCATGGAGATGGATCCACTGTCCATCCGTGTGACACTGAAGGGCTCGAAGCTGTGTTGCCATCCCACGAGCCACCAACCTTAAACAAGCCCCAAGTAAGCACTTCTTAGATGATGACCAGTTCAAAGGGCTGGGCCAGCCAAGTGCCCGTCCTAGCCATGGTTTTATGAGACAGGAGCAGAGCGGGTTTGTCTTCCATCAAATAGAAGACTGGGTGTCGCCAGTGGGAGCCATCTTCCCACCTCAGGTACATGCTGGGCCAGTGCAGTGCCCACACTCAGCATTCTTATTTATTATTTCCCCTCTCCTATCCTTGTCTGAGCCTCACACTTTATCATTTATTAACCCACCCCTGTACCCTCTCCTCCCTTTTCCAAACTATCCTGTGCATCCCTCTTTAGGAAAAGTCCAAGGTTCTGTCTCTCAGGTGCCCTTCATAGGGGAACCTGGGCCCTCTGTGACATCTGGTCAACCCACTGGTCCTCCGCTTCCCTGACGGCTCCCTCTCTTCTCTGACCAATGCCTGGGGGACAGTTGCCCTTGGCTGTCAATTTAGCTGTCAAAGAATGATTTAAAAAAACAAACAAACAAAAAAACACCTCAATGGGTCTGCAGGGCTTGTCGAGAGGTGGACATAGGAGGCGGTGACTGAGGGGAGACCCACCCCGAATGTGGGCCATACCATCCAGCAAGCTGGTGGTCCAGACTCAAAGAAGTTAGAGGAGGGAATGTGCCAGTGTCTGAAAGCCCCCTTTCCTTTGGGGGTAAAATACTGATGTCGTCATCACCCACTGACATTAGGCTACAATTTCTTGTTGGTTGGCTTTTGTCAACTTGACACAGACCTAGACATCTGAGAAGGGGGACTCCTAAGTGAGAAAATGCCTCCAAGATTGTCCTGTAAGCAAGTCTGTGGGGGGGTCACCTTGATTCAGTGACCCCTGAGGGCCCTGCTCACTGTGGGCAGTGCCATCCCTGGGCAGGTGGTCCTGGGTGGTTTAAGAAAGCAGGCCATAAGCAGTGCTCTCCATGGCCTCTGCATCAACTCCGACTTTGACTTCCCTCCATGATGTGATATGAAAAGGCAAGCAAAATAAACCCTCTTCTCTCCAAGCTGCTCTGGCCATGGTGTTTTACCACAGCAATAGAAACCTTCACTAAGACAGGCTTCCTCAGCCTTTCAACCTGGACCTGCCACCAGTGACTCTACAGGGAGCCTCCAGGCCTTCAGTGCCAATTTGGGACAGCTGAGGCACCTAACTGCTTGTCTCTTCAGTGGGTATATGGGCACTGTTAGACTACCCAGCTCCTGTCATGTAAGTCCATCCAAGAATTCCCCTTTTGTAATTTATGTATGTATGTGTTCTCTCTCTCTCTCTCTCTCTCTCTCTCTCTCTCTCTCTCTCTCTCTCTCT